ATGCTCACTTGCATCAGGGCCGATGGGAATGTCATAAAGACTGTCCGTGTGAAGGGTAATTTGGCAACGCCTATCAAATCCACGCACACACATATTCCTGACCCAGCAAATCCCTTCTACGAATGCGCCTTACAGATACGCCTGCAATTGTGGACAATGGCGTGTTGGACAAGCTTATTCATTTGGTAGCACTGCTGGTGGTAGGAGCCGAAGATGGCAAACCATCTCAGTGTTCATCAACAGCGGACCAGTTCGGTGAGTGGTGTCAACACAATGGAGTCCTATACAGCCATCCAAAGAAGGAGCAAGCGGTCTGTGTGCTGTTGTGACATAATGTCCGAAATTGGTTGTTAAATGAAACAAGCAAGGAGCAGCAATGTGAGTGGAGTATTCTGCTATTTGTGTAGAAAAGGAGGGAGGTACTTGTAGATCGAAGGTAGCAGATTATCAGTGACTACTCTGTTGAACGTCATGTAAGTGGTGGGGCTCACAGCTCCTGCTGACCCATGCCGCCCTGACCCCAGGTCGCGTGGGCAGGAGAGCTCGGGCCACACAGTGCAGTGGCTGTGGTGACCAGCACCGGACCCCTGGGGGGATGGGCTCTGAGGGGGAGCTGCAGAGGTCCTGGGTGCTTGGATATTGAGGGAAGTGCTGGAACCAGGCTCTTGTCCCCCTTTGTCCTACACGCTCTCCCACCTGGTTTTCACCAAGTATGTGTGGCCTGAACCACACCGGCTTGTAGGTTTCCATGTCAGTTAAGCCGTAAGCTGGTTGGCCCAGGCCTTCTTGGGATTGTGGTTGATCTTCCTCTGTTCCCTCGCTCCTACCTATTTTTCAATTCTTAATCCTTGACGCAAGCCCTCCTGGTACCCTCTTCTGGGTGGTGTCTTGTTTACACGATGGTCGTTTTCTGTCTCTCTCTCCCATGGGCCATGAGGGAGGCCTGGCGCCTCTGCCCAGGACACTTCTAAAGGCTCTGGCTTTCTTCACGCTGCAGAATTATAACAGCTACTGCTTGGAGAGCACTTATTAAATCCTAGATACCATTATAAGTGCTCTTCATTCAGTGTCTCAGTTGTTCATTCAAATATATGTATTAAATGTTTATTAAGTGACATTAAGTGGTCTTGGAGGTACAGCGGCAAACAAGAGAAAGTTTTTTATCCCTATGGGGCTGACTAGAAGAGCGGATGAGATGAACTACAAACAAATATATAGCCTACTTTCAGATAGTGCTGAGTGCTCTGAAGAGAAATAAAGCAAATTAAGGCCATAGAGAGAGATAGGGGGATGATTTTTCAGGTGTTCAGGTAAGATCCCATCTGAGGATGAGCCTGAATGAAGGGAAGGAGTGAGCCCTGAGAACAGTGGTGGGAAAGGCATTTCAGGTAGAGGGAATGGCAAGTACGAAGGCCTCAGGTGGGAACATGGTGAGCGAGAGGAAGAGTGTAGGCAATGAGTCAGAAAGGCAGCCGGGCTCACACCCAGGAGGGGTGTTGTAGGCCATGGCAGAGACTCTGGATTTAGTCTATGGGGTCACTGGAGGGAGTTGAGCTTATGAAGTTGATATGGTTTTTCATGTTCTACAGGTGAAGGGGTTGAGGCTGAGAGAGGTCACCCAGTGAGTAAGGTGCAGATCTCAGAGTTGTACAAACTAACCCCCACCACCAGGATGCAGGGTCTCAACCCTCTTCCGGGGACTCCAGTGCTGACATCCCAAAGGCTGGTTGAGAGGACAGGGCCACCCTTCCACAGGTCCCTCCAATGCCCAGCACAGGCCAACGGGGCCCCCAGGCACATGCCACGGGCAGGGGTGGGCTGGCCGGGCTCCTGGAGGGGCTCTCAGGTTCCCCACAGTGGGCAGGGTGGCAGTGGCTGAGCGTCATGCCAGCTGGAGCCAACGAAGTGCTGAGATGGCACAAATGTCCCAGCTCCACACCCTGCCCACTGTCGATGAATCAATTGAATCATTCAACTGAAAAATTAACTCAAACCCACAGAAGGTCACCAGGAGGTGCACGTCTGGAACAGAGGCTTCTCTGTCACCCTCACCCCAGCACTGGGGGCCGGCCGAGCTCCAGCCTCTCCCAGATGAACACTTGTGCCCTGAACCCCAGGAAGCCCAGGACCTTCTGCGGGGGGCGGCGGGGGGGCTCCATGTCATCGTCCTCTCCTTGTTTCCCCTTGGTTGGCAAAACTTCGCTCAGGCCTAATGGCTCATGGCTTGTCCGTTCTTCCTGGATTTATTTATCAAGTTTAGATTGTGCTCTCAGGATGTTCAAGGTCTATGTGGGTCGAGGGCACCAGTATAGGGACTTTGCCTTCAAGGAGCTTCGCGTCCATGAGAGTCAGGTACCCAGAGAAATATAAGGCGGCACTGGGGATACGTGTAAACTTCAGGAGGGCACGATTTTCATCTGTTTCATTCATGGGGTATCCTCAGTGCCTCGAATAGTGCCTGGCACACAGTAGGTGCTCAATAAATATTTGTCCAGTGAATGAATACATTCAAAATGAGTGGAACTTTGGGGAGGCTAGGCTGAGCGTGGAACTAACATGATTGGCAGGGGGTGGGTCGCCTTTCAACTTTGCACCTGGAAATCACTTGGAAAGCTTTCCAATCTGATGACTGGGTTCCACCCCAGAGATTTGGATTGGACTGGACTGGGGTGCACCTTGGGAACTGGGAGTGATAAAAGCTGCCCAGGAGATTCTAATGTGCGGCTCGGGCTGAGCACCTCTGCTTGGGGCCTCACAATGGAATGCTCTGAGAGCATGGGAGGGGCTCCTGCCTCAAAGCCACCTGACCACTCTTCCCAGGTGTTCCGCGCTTGGTGAGGAGGGAGAGTCTGTCCCCTTCTTCTGGCATCCTGCCTGCCAAACCTATGTTCAACACCACCTCCCTCCCACGGTTCTCCCTATTTCTGCTTCCCTGCCCTACTGCATCTTCCAGGGGACTCACCCCTTCCACGGCTGTCCCCTGCTGCTGCTCCCCTCCTGACCTTGATCAACTTAAAGCGTTGATCAGCCCATCAATTAATTGTGTCCTAATCCAATCTTGGCTTAGTTGGAGAGAGGGCAGTAAATCCAGCTGGGTAATCATGCCCTGGTATTTGTGTAAGGATAATTACTATCTCTCAGGCCTCACTTGGTGGCAAGATGAGATGAAAACCCATAAAACACCACTCGGGGCTGTGGCTCATTGTTCCTTGGCTGCACAAGGCTGGCTCCCAGCCAGTCAGCCCCGCCTGCCCCTGCCCCTGGCACAGGCCCCAACCTCTTCCCTCCCATTCATGCCACTGGCAGGGCTCAACCTCAGGGGCAGTCTAGGGGCTGGATCCTGGCCGGGCCTCAAAAACCAGTAGGGGCAACATGGGCCCAGGGAAAGCCAGTGTGTGTGTGCTGGGCTGGGGAAGAGGCAGGGAGGGTGAGCCCCATAGCCAGGCAGTGCCCTGCCTCTGGGAGATCGGGAGGGTCCAGGATGGTGAATACACAGGTCTGAACCAAGGGGTGTTGTCTAGACCAACCCAAGAGGATGTTGTCATCTGGAAGAGGCCGATGCATGACCCACCTGGCCTCTCAGGGACATGAGGCTCTGCATGTTTCAGGAGGACACCGTGGCCTGGGACTTCCCTGTAGATGTTATGGTTCTATGGGAGTGGACTTCATTCTAGTGGGCTGAGCTCAGGCTTGAGAGAATGTGAGAGTCAGGGGCTGGGAACCACCTTGATCTTTAACCCAAGAACACAGCCCCCCAACTTGTGCAACACTAAGCACCCACTAGAAGCCAGGCTCTCCACTAGGCCCTGAGGACACAGGACTGAGTAAGGCCGTGGAATATATATATTTTTTTTTTTTTAGAGATTTTATTTATTTGAGAGAGAGAGAATGAGAGATAGCACGAGAGGGAAGAGGGTCAGAGGGAGAAGGAGACTCCCCGCTGAGCAGGGAGCCCCACACAGGGCTCGATTCCAGGACCCCGGGATCATGACCTGAGCTGAAGTTCAGACGCTTAACCGGCTGAGCCACCCAGGTGCCCTGGCCATGGAGTATCTTAATTAAAGAATGGATCTGGAGTCGGACCCCTGAGTTTGAGTCCTGGGACTTACAAGTTGTGTGGCCGTGGGCCAGTCATGTGACCTCTGTGCCTCAGTCTCCTCAGCTATAAAGTGGGATGCCAGGATCTACCTAAGTGCATTGCTGCGAGGCTCCCATGGGCTGATTAATGTAAAGGGCTTAGATCCAGGCCTGGCACACCGTCGGTGCCACTTAAGTTAGCTGCTACCATTGTCCTTACTGCTATTTAGCCTTCTGGCATCAATATCCCTCAGCCATTCCTCAGTGGCCCCTGGAACAGCAGTAGCATTATAGTGTGAGAGCAGGTTAGCAATGCAGGATCTTGGGCTGCACCCAGATCTGCTGTGTGCAAATGTGCATTTACACAAGACCCCCAGGTACATCGGCTGAGACACTCTAGGCTGGGAAAGGCTCCATGAACTCAAGGTCTGCCTGCTTCCAAGTTGTTTCCCCAGAACCTAGCATCTCTAGTCTGGAATGGAGTAGGTGTTCAGCAGGAATTTGTGGAGTGAATAAATGAGCTCAGCTAAAAGCTGTGGGGGGCCCTTGAAGGATTTCAAAGCATTTTGAAAGGTTCCCTAGAAGCAGCATGGAGAGCGACTCCAGGAGGCCGTCTGTCCAGTGAGAAGTGCTGAGTGGCTGAGCCATGGCAGGAGCAGTGGGGCGGCGGCGGGGGGGGGGGGGCGGTTAGGAAGATGGGGGCAGGGGGACTGCTCAGATTGGGAGACAAAGACGGCAGAAAGTCTGAGGGAGATGAGGGATCCCCTTGGGGATCTCTGCTGGGACAGAGCGAGCTCTTGGAGGCAGCAGGGGCCTATGCCTGGGGGAGCCCGTGACAGAATAACCTGAGGAAGGCCCTTCCCCCAGCTGGTGGGGCGCAGAGGGTGGGAAGCAGGAAGAGGCCTGAGGCCCCAGCCCCTTACCTGAGAAGGCATTATTGGTGTTGAGGAAGTAGATTTCCTCGCGGCCATCCCCGTCAATGTCGCAGGCTGTGACCCCGATGGCATTCCCCTGCCGGTCCCGCAGGGCATAGTAGGGGGAGCTGCGCTCGTCCACTGCAATGTTCACCAGTCGCTTTTGGGTCCGGTCATACTTCAGAACCAGGTTGGGGCCGTTGTACCTGGAGGAGGAAGGGGGAGGGGGTGTTGAGGAGGAGCAGCTGGGCTCACCTGGTGTCCTCCCGCCCAACAGTGGGGCTTAGAATCCTCCCAGACGGGTCAACGGTGAGGCAATTCAGCCTTGGGGCATGCTGGGGAAACTCTGGACAGCTTCAGCCTCGCCTCAGGGGTCCCTGGGTGTTTGGTGAGTGTCCCTGAACCAGATACAGACTCACTCGAAATAAGAGTCAACTGGGCCCACATGGGACACAATATGAGAAGCAGGGTGGCACAGGGGGATGGGCAGCCCGTGACAACCCCCTTACCACAGGCTTCGTGAAGAAAACGACTACGCCCCCCATCTACCTTGCCCATCTCAATGTCAAAGGCACTTTCTTTTTTATGATCCCACTAACTTAAATCTAATAAGCAAGTGAGGTGGGCGTGGGAGGCTGTATTATTAACCCATTTTACAGATGAGGCACTGATGAGCTTCAACTGGGGAAACTGAAGCTCAGAGAGACTGAGCGCCCTCCCCAAGGTAACACAACTAGTTAGGCGTCAGGTGCTAGGACTTGGACCCAGGCTCTTTCTGGGCAAATGAGCCCTGGAGGAGTAGAGGCTTTGTTGCTGAGGTTTGGAATGACTCTCTCCTGACAGAGTCCCTGCATTTAAACAGTAGTATAAAATGAGCATCTCAGACGGGAGATTTTGAACACATCTGAAGTCAGTGGGTGGACCTGCTAGATCTCTTTTTCTAAGGAACTCACTATGAAAGATTAAAATGCTCATCTGTCCTCATCTCTTCCGCCTCATTCTCCTGCAGCCACATAGCCTCCTTGCCTCACTGAAGGCCCAGGCATGTTCTTGCCTCAGGGACTTTGCACTTGCTGTTCCTTCTGCCCAGGATGCACTTCCCCCAGATACCCACAAGGCTGTCCCCCTCTGTCACCAAGTTCAGGCCACGGCTCCATCGTTGCTTCTCAGCAAAGCCTTCCTGGCCACATTCCTGAAACCTGCAAGCACCACCCCTCCCCGTGCTCCTTATCCCTCATCCCTGCTCTCTTCCCCCAAAGCTTTTACCAGCAGCTGACAGTTCTCTATCCTCTCTCTTCTCTGTCTGATCGCACTAGAATATCAGCTCCGTGAGTGCAGAACTTTTTGTCTGCTTCATTCCCCAGGGCCTAGGACAGTGCCTGGCACACACTAGGTGCTCAGTAAATACTTGTTGAATGATTGAATGAATGAAACCTCAGAGTCCACGTCTGAGTCATAAAGGCTTCGGTGTTGCACATCGGTTTCTTCCCATTGCCTTTCCATCTGGAGAAAGCACCATGCCCAAGGTCACCCTCCGGCAGCGTGGCCGTGAATGTCTGAAGGCCTCCTCCGGCCTCTAGGGAACACCAGCTTGCCAGGCTCTCCTAAGGAACCCGGCCAATGTCCATCCATTAGTCCTGGCCTCCTGTCTTTGTTTTAACCTAAGCGTGTACATCCTGAGTGATGTTCAGCTGCAGGCCTCTGGCTGTCCTGGCTGAGAACACTTTGGGGTGGGGATGGGGTGGGCGGAAAGACCTCTCCAAGGTCTTTGACAGAAATCACTTCTTGCTTTCCTGAAACTGATCCAACTTGGCCCTCTCCTTTGTCACTGAGATGTAGAGCCTGTGAAATTTGGGTAATGCTGAGCAACTGGCTGGGTGCCTTCTGGCACCCACAGTGTGTGAAAAGGGGGGAACAGAGCTCACTGGGAGCTGAGTCAGCACTCGGTGATGGAAGGTCACGCCTCGGATGCCCAGACGAACAGTGTCTGAGGGCCGGGGGCGGGGGGAGGGCATGGCATGCCCCACGGGATGTGTCTGGGCAGGAGAGACAGAACACTTGGGTTCCAGCACCGTCAGCAGCTGGCTCCAGCCCCCAGGGACAGAAAATGCCTTGGGTGCCACACACTAGTCCTCCCAGCCTCTGGGTCTTCTGGTTACTATGATCTTTGCTGCTCCTCACAAGACACCACAGTCCCAGAGTGCTGGGCTTGCACTGTCAGATGCATTGTCTCACCTGAGCCCCACAGAAAGAGGGTAATAAGGCATTTTCTAGAAAAGGAAACTGAGGGTTAGGGAGGCGGCGAGCTGTGCAAGGTTACACAGCCGGTACGTGGCGGTGCTGGGCCTCTAACCGTCTCCAGGCTCTAAATCCTGTGTTCTTTCCACACTGCCCATGATGTCAACACTGCTAGTCTTTGGATTTCTTTTTCTGGGGGCCTCCCCCAAGGTAGTGACCATGAGAAATGCCCAAGAACTTCATGTCAAAGGGGAGATAATAGCCCTACTTTGCTACAGCACTCTAAAGGCATGGTCTCATCCTCAATTTAGTTTACTACTCACAGGTCTTGACTTTCCCCAGATTGGTTTTGTAACCTGAGGCTGGTCAGTTCCCCTCTCTAGGTTCTGGGTTTCTCTTCTGCAAAATGAGAGTTAGGCCAACTAGGGGGTCACAGACTGTGTCACCGCATGTGGCCCTGGGGAGGCAGGGGCATGGCTGTGCATGTAGCGGAAGCTGGGCTTTGCCCGAAGTCTGGGGAGGCAGGTGTGCACACAAGGTGGTGGCGCTGGGGGGGCAGATGGCCCTGGATCATCTCTTCTTTGAGGAACTTGGAGGTGCCAGTTCCAGGGCACTCCCTAGGGGGCAGTGGGGTGGGCTTGCTAGGCTGGCTCAAATTCCTCTGTCTGCTACAGAGTGAGCACACGCCAGAGTCCTGCCTCAACCTGCCTGGTGGCCTGGGATGAATCCCGACACTCTGGCCCCTTCTCTCCCGCTGCCACCCCGAGGGACACAAAGTCCAACTAACAGCCCCTAGGGAGGCTTCTGAACAAGGCCAGGGGTAAATGCATGGAGTTGCCACTCCTCTCTCCACCAGGCAGCCCTCTACTGGGTTGGCTGGACAGACGCGTGAGCCTCTTACAGTCCTCCCCTGGGATCACCAGCTTGTCCCCTCCCTTCTGCTCCATGGAGCAGATGCTCCTGTCGGGTTCCTCACCCCTGCCCCCACCCCCCATAGGCTCTGCCTTTTCCAGCCTCTGTGGCTTGGCTCAGCCGCAGCTGCCCCCTTCCATGGGGAATGGTCTCCCCGCCCTCCCATGAAGCCTGGCCCCAACCGACTGCCTCTCGGCTGGATGCGATCTCTTCTCTGGATGCCCACTGTTCTGCACCTCGCTTATTCCTGTGAGGGCAGGGTTGTTTGTGCTCCAACATTGCTTCCCTTCATTCAAACAGATGCTTCTTGAGCCCAGGAAGCATGTGGATACATCTCTGCAATTGCTGTGCCTAGGGCAATTCTTGGCCTAGAGAAGGTGCTCAACGAATGTCTGTCCAACATACAGATGAGTGAGCGAGTGGATGGATAAATATAAATAATCAAGGGCAGTGAAGAGAGCGACAGCACAGGCTGAGTCCCCTTCTGTCTCACTGCAGCCTCCTGACAGCCCAGGATTTCGCAGATGTGGAGACTGAGGTACAGAGGTTAGTCACAGTCACTAACCCACCCACAGTCCCTCTGGGTGGCAGTGCCCACACTGACAAGCCTGGGGGGCTGGACGTGAGGGATGTGAAATTTCACGTTTCCTCCCTCTGACACCTGCCAGAGATTGTTGGTTTCTTCCAGAATTTCAAGAGGCTTTGAGGCTCAGTTAGACGGGCTTAGGGAGAGGGACAGTGTCCCGTGCTCTTGAAAAGTAGCCGTGACTCCCTAATATCAAAGCTGGGCCCGCAAGCAGAGTGACTGGCTGGGTGGTAACTGGACAATATGCCTGAGAGACACCGGCAGGGCACAGTCCATGCTGCGTGAGCCCCGGCCAATTCTGGTGCCAGTCCCCTGGGACAGAACTGCTGTGGACAGGGAGGGGCCTTGGGGTGGGGGGGGCCCAGGAGTGCAGGGTGGGCACAGGGGCCTGGCCCCGCCCCTTCCTGGCTGTGACCTTGAGCTCGTCACTGAGTGCCTCACCTCTGACTCAGGCCTGCTACATACCTCATAGCCTGGCAGTGAGACTGAGACGGTGTGTGTGCTGACACTTGGTAAACCGTGAAGAGTTACACAAGTATAAGTTCTCATCATTATGAAAAGTAACACAACAGCCGAGGCCCAATCTCTCACTCTCCAGTGATCACTTTGAGAGTTTCCAAACCCACTCTAGTATTTCTTATCCCAAACATCCCACCCTTGATCTCTCATCCTTTATGGGTATGCTTCTTGATTTAAACCCCTTCATAACCAAACTTCTCGAAGACCTGTCTTCCCAGGCTGTCTTCAGTCTCTCACCATCCACTCAGCCCACCCCGATCCACATTCCCCCCAACTCCAGCACAGCCACCCTCATTATTGTCACAGGGGGCTTTCAGGTGGCCACATCCAGGGACAGGCTTTCCGTTCGCATCTCCCCCAGCCTCCAGCTGCTTCTGGCACACGGACCAGCTCTCTGGGCCTCCACCACACCATTCCCTCTTAAGACACTGCCTTCTTGGCTTTGAGGGTGCACCCTGCCCTCTGGGGCCCTTCTCTCCGGCTCCCTCTCCTTTTCCTCTTTGTCGGTTCTTCCTCCTTGCTCTACCCTCTTCATGGTGGAGTCTCCAGGCCTGTTCCTGGGCCCCCTTCTCCTCTCTCCGTCCCCTGGCACTGGGGGATAATATCCATTCCCGTGACCGACAACTCCCAAATTTCTATCCCCAACCCAAACCCCCAGTCCGAGCACAGACTCATATATCTGCCTGCCTGCCTGACGTCTCCCCTTGCACATCCACGCTCATCTCTGATGGAATGTGTCCAAAATGGAGCAAGGATTGCTCAGCCCCCCTCCTACCTGCAATGGGCGCCCGAGTACTGAAGCCCAAAACCTGGCACCAGCCTTGGTTCTCCCTCCCCCTTGTCTTCACATCTCATGCATCGGCCAATCCTGTCATTTCTACCTCCTAAAATATTTCAAAGGCTTTCTCTTCTTTCCTCCCCTACTGTCACCATCTGTGGAGAGTCTCCTTC